ATTCGTTGTTGTTAGTTATATGACAACTGAATTTAATAGTATGAATAAATTGTAAATATGATATCTAAAAAAATAAATTGTACATATGATATTTTATCGATTACATATTAGGTTAAATCTTTAATGTGAAAAGATAATTTTTTTTTTCATTTTTTGTAATTTTAATCCTAAATCATTATTAGTTGCTCTTTAAAAAATAGAAATAATAAAAAATAATAAAAACATGTATACTATTTATCTTCTATTACAATAGAATCACCTACTTCGTTCACACCCATATCTCATCCATCTAATAAAAGTGGATAAATAAAATACGTTAGCAAAAAAAATCTAATATATATAAATAAAATAGATATTTTTTGAGAACATTTGGAGCGCCACGTAAGAAATATACTTATTTCGACCAATAAGAAGAAAAATTTGTATTTTATTTTTGAATTAAAAAATTATGTCGCCAACTAGATAAAAGTAACGAATTAGATTTGATATATCTAAAATTTTAATGCCACGTAGATTATAATCCATGAATTAAATTATTTTAATGAAAAAAAAATAAAGTAAAAATATAGGAAAAGATAAATTTATTAATTCAATACTACGAGTATAAAAAATCCAAAAAAATTATACTAAAAAAAATGATAAATGCTTATAATAAAGTTTGATACCTATCATTATAAGATAAATTTTGATAGTATTTATGATAAGAAATACAAATTGTTCGTTAATTATAAATTAAATTAAAATTTGTGAAACCTACCATTATAAATTGACACATCATGCGACACAAACAAAATTTCGTATCAATAAATAACCCATCAAGTGAATTTTGTGTTAGTAATTTTGTGTTGATTTTTGGTCATCAATGGCCGGGTAATTTTTAGCTTAATTTTTAAAATCCTATGTTTAAATTAGTATTTCTAATTTACATTGTATTAATTTGGGATACTCAACGATATATGTTTATGTTTTATTTACTAAATGGTTTTTTACATGCACATTTAACACATCATACGACACATATAAAATTTCGTATCAATGCAAACCCCATCAAGCAAATTTTGTGTTAGTAATTTTGTGTTAATTTTAGGTCATTAATGTTCAGGTAATTTTTAAAATCTTATGTTTAAATTTATATTTGTAATTATTAATTACATTGTATTTATTTAGGATATTTAACGATTATTTGTTTATATAATGGCATACGATTAGATGTTGTATACTTAATATATGGATGGCATTGGTTATTTTTGGAGATGATGAAAAAATTCCAATGCATAGATTTGATTTTATATCACAACAATTTTTCGTTTATTGGTAAATATATTGATTTATTATATAAATGTAAGGATTTAATTTATATCATCAATTTCAGTTTGGCTAACATTTCACGGTTCATTTTATCCATTGATGTAGTAGGTTGGTTGTGGACGATTTTGGTGATTCTATCGAAATTAAAGATATGGTAAAACAATGAATAATAATTTACGATTTAAATTATTAGAAATTTATCATTTCACTTTAAAGGATTTTATATAACGGAAAAAAAAATCATATTTACAATTTATTTATATTAATTATAAATTATAGTAAAAAAAATATTAAACTTTTTAAATTTTGTCTAAAATTATTAAATACAATAAATCAAATAATTAAAAAATCTTAGATGAAAAAACCGTGCATCGCACGGGCTTCCATCTAGTATTATATAAAATTACCCGTTCTAGTCTTATAAAATAAATCAATATATTTACCAGGAAGTGAATAATTGTTGTGAAATTAATCTAAAAATTGTAATTATACAAAATTAAATCTATGCATTGGAATTTTTTCATCGTCCCCAATCGCCCAAACAATAGTATTTTGGAAAATTGAATCATTATTTTGTTGTCGCTGACAATGCGTACGATATTGTTTCTTATTTGTAATGACTGAAAAGTATCTAATGGAGTAAACTTTTCCTTTAATCAATTTTGAACAAAATTGTAGAACAAAGTTGACTTTAATTGAGGCATGAACGCAATTACCCTGTAATTAAAAATAAAAAATTATGTTAATTTTTATGACTTAATTAAGCTACCTAAGTCACAAAATTTGTTTTAATCATAAAATTAATTGATAAAAACTAAAAGGTTCATTAAAAGATTTAATAAATGTAAACGATTTATAAAGATATAATACCTCCTCATCCAATAGGATCATTAGGCGAGAAACTCGTACTTTGATATTCCAAAGATTTTTGCTCGAATATAATTCTCTGATTAAATTAGATCTGCATGTAAAACAAAATTCAGTAAACAAAACATAAACATATAATCATTAAGTATCCCAATAAACACAATTTAAGTAATAATAATCACAAATATACATTTAAACATGGGTTTTAAAAATTAGGCTAAGAATTACCCAGCCATTGATGACCTAATAAAACTGACACAAAATTAATGACACAAAATTTGCTTGGTTTGGTTTTGTATTGATACGAAATTTTGTTGGTGTCATAGGATGTGTCAATTTATAATGGTAAATATCACAAATTTTAATTTAATTACAATTAAGGAATAATTTTTATTTCTTATCCTAAACACTATCAAAATTTATCTTACAATAGTAGGTATATAAATACTATATCTAAAGATGATTGTTTTAAAAGATATTTTTAGTTTTTTAAATAAATTAAATCTTAATTGTTAGTGTCATAGGATGTGTCAATTAAATCCTCTTATAAGATAAATTTTGAAATTACTATAATATTGGATGTAAGCCCGTGCGATGCACGATTTTTTTATACATAAATCTCAAGAAAAGATTATTTTCTTAATTTAACCCTATAATTTTTTTTAATTATTTTGCTTGTTAGAAAACGGATTATTTGTTTTATTTTTATGCAACTTATAATGCGACCTTAATTTACTTAATATTAGTTATATGAAAATTATAAGTATGATAAATATTAGAATAAAATCATAATCCTATTCGTATTTTTTTAACCTATGATTCGTCTGTATAACGAAACACGTTGTTCCACTATACATATATAGTTATAGAATCACTATTTTTCTTTCACAAAAAATAACTTAGACCACCATTATTCTTTTACTCCGTATCAACTTTATACAATAAAAAATTAATAAAGAAAACCCAAAACTATAGGGTTAAAATAAAGACGGTGGGAGTAATAGTATAAAATATGACTTTATGAATTTTTAAATAGTTAAATGAAATATATATATATATATATATATATATATATATATATATATATATATATACTACCAAGAGTGTTGCATTACTAAAATTAATCTAATTGAATAAAATTAAATCTTTATAATGAAATTTCATTATCATATAATGTCCTTAATAATAGAGTTATATGTATACACTACTACAATGATTTTTACAATAATAATATAGATATTCTACCAGAAATTATAATACATAAAAAAATCAAAATTATCAGAGACATCTCTTACAATCTTTAATTTTTTTCCCTACTATTGTAACATTATAGTTGACTTGGGGCCTATTCAGATTTACTGAACTAAACTGAATTGATTGAAGCTAAACTGAATATTTTATAAGAGAAGGAAATTAGGAATTGAAAATAAGCTGAAGAGAATAGGCCCTTACTTTTCCAATCCACACATTTCTCTTTTGGATTTATAAGTGCTTGAAGAAATTTCTTTCAATTGGCGCATGGACATAATCCCTTCAAATACAGAATAATTAATATTAAGTTACAATTAAGTTGTTTAACAAAATTTAATACGATAAGTAACATAATTAGATTAGGTAAAATAAAACAAAACATACATCTTATAAAATAATGAATAACAATCAATTTATTTTGTTTACCATCAGAAAGCCTTGATATACTTACATTATTTCCAATATTTTTTGTTAATCAACGAATTAGACCTGAAAAAATTCACACCATGAAAAAGTGTAGATAAATAATATTCCCATGTTTGTGTTTTTTGTATAGTATATATATATTGTGTATTTACAATTGGAAAAAAAATCAAAATTATATTTTTGAGAGGATGTATACAAATCTTTAATATCATCCTATCTTATATATTTGTGGAGTAGCAAATAAATCTCTTATAAAAATTTTATCTAATCATGAAATGGGTTGCTAGATAAGATAAAAATTGAACATTATTGTGTTTTTTTTTGAAGAATATTGATAAAGACTGAACGTTATTGTTATTTTTTTTTTTGAAGAATATTGATTTTTTTTTTTAAAATTGAAGAATATTAGTTAATTATTAATAATTTAAATTTCTTTTAAAATGTTTTTTTTTTAAAAATTGATTAACGTTTTCTTAATAACAAAATGAACATATATTTTCCTTTTTCAAATAATTAATTTTAAAGTGTTTGTATATAATAATTGTATAATTTATAGTTTTTTTTAAAATTAAATCCTAATATCAAAAGATCATCTTTTAAAAAAGATAATTTTTAGGTTTAAAATAATTTAAATCTTAATAAATCATTATTCGTCGTTTTTACCTACGTGGAAATTTTTTTAAATTTCATTCGTCACTTTTGCTTATGTGGCGAGTGAATTTTTTAATTCTAAAATAAAATAAAAATCTAACTTTTAATTGGTTGAAATAATAACTTTGCTTATGTGGCGCGCCGGATGCGAAAAATGCCTACTTTATTTATATATATTAGATATTAGATTAGATTATTGGACTTGTATTAGGTGTTACCCTATTTTATCTTTTTTTTTTTTTTTTTTTTTTTTTTTTTGAGAAAATTATCCTATTTTATTTTGTTTGAACTTATTTGCTCTTATTTAAATTTATTAGCTTTTATAATTTTATCTTAGTATACATCTATCTATAAACTTCACAAACATTCAGTATATTTTTAAGCGTTTGTTAGGGCTGCAATGTTATCATGTACTCTGTATAGTATAAAAGAGAAAATTAAATTAGGTTGGTTTAGAACACTATAGCATTGCAATTAGAGAAATTAGGAGTATACTAATGGTTTCTCCATCTGAGTTTTCTAGCAATACCAGTATTATGGAAGATAAACAAGATTTAATCAGCAATTTGCCAAATAATGTCATTGACAAGATCATAGAAATCTTGCCACTATCCGATGCAGCCAAGATGGGTGTGTTGTCTAGAAATTGGAGGAACTATTGGTTGAATCTTGGTAGCCTTGTTTTTGATGCTGATTTTTCGAAATCGCAGCGCGATGACAATGGAAAACTAGATTGGTCGAAGTACCACTCCATCATCAGCAATATACTCTTTCGACACCATGGTCACATTCATACGTTCCGTCTTTACATCCCGAAGGACAAAACTGTTTGTGAAGAAACACTTAATTTTAGTCCTTGGTTATCTTTTCTTTCACGGAATGGTGTCAAAAAGCTTGTACTTCTGAATCAGCTTGTTACTATATTACCTTTGCCATCTTATATATTTTCTTTCAAGTTAGAAGAGATGACGCTAGGTTATTTCACTTTGAATCCTCCACTTGCTGACTTTAAGCGGTTTGAACGGCTATGGAAACTTGTACTTTGCGAAATGAAATTCAACATTGACATCGGGAGTTTGATTGCGAATTGCCCCAATCTTGCTAGGTTAAAGCTAATGCACTGCACCGGTATAAACCATCTTGCTATAGATGCGCCAAAACTCAAAAACTTAACTCTCAAAGGCAAACTTGGATCCTTGGATTTTAAAAATGTTCCTACCCTTGTCATATTAGAATTAGCCATGGAAGGCGAATGGGATAACCGTTTATGTACACAATTAGCTGATGCCTTCAAGAATATTGCAACTTCCTGTAAACTCACGTTTCTCCAAATTGGGCTTAGTTTGTCTAAGGTAAATTATATGGCAAAAAAGATATATATTCCCTCTATCTCTATTTTATTTATTTATTTATTTATTTTTAACGAGTTGCTCCTTAATTTTGATGGATGGTTTTGTTGTGCAAGTTCTTGGCTGCAGGTGGTATAATGAGATCCCTTCCATTAGCACTCACACAGGTAAACGAGTTATACTTCGTCGACAAAGACTTGGATAACTATGGTGTATTTTCTTGCACGTTTGGCTTTAATTCAAAGCTGCCCATCAATTGAAAAGCTTGGAATTTCTGTAAGTAGCTAAATCATATATACTTCTAATCTACCTCCGTATTTTTAGTTAAAATGTATTCTTTTTTGGAAAATTTCTTTTTAGTTGAAATGTCAATTTTACCCTCACCAATTTTCCCAACTCATCTTCTCTCTCCTCACTTTAGCAAAGACTGATTTCTCAATTGTCACTCCTCCATTATCTTCCCACTCCATTACCTCCATCATCAAATTCATCACCATGAAACCATCACCGTCACAGCAACCACCACCACCGCCCAAAACCGCATACTCCGTAGAGGATAAAACCTTCAAACGTATATAAAACATATGAAAATTTCAGCTAGCTAATTAATTTGTGCTTTTTTTTTATTTAATTGCTAAAAGAAAAAAAAAATCAGAAGGTGAGATGAGCAAGAATGGAGGTGCAGACCGTGAGTCGAGGAGGGAAAAGAAAGATGGTGAATGGTGATGATGAGAGAGAAAGGTAGTACTCCTAGGTGGTACCTGGTATTCTGGTCAGAGTGGGTGGGTAAGTATAAGGGGTAATTTTGTCTTTAACATTCTTTCCCATTTCTCCTAGATATGTGCGCAAAAATTCAACGTGTCAACCAAATAGAAAAGGAGGAAGTATATATTTATGGCATAATTTGAGATTGATAGCGATTATTATGTGCATTGTCCCCTAATAAAATCTCATGCACAGGTTACTCCAAGCAAAAATTTAGATGTTCGGCATAAATATTCTTACGATAACAAGTTCAAGTTGGATCATCTACTTGAGGTGGAATTTGAGGGCATTACAGGGTCACGCGCAGAGGTCAAATTGATTGAATATGTGCTTTCTGTCTCGAATGTTCTTGAAAATTTGTTTATCTTACTTGGAAAGCTTGATTACAATTCAGCGTTTGCGTTGGGAAAAGAATTGAATGGTTTGGAAAGAGCTTCTCCAAAGGTACAAATTGTGTATCTAGAAAAATCAAAGACGTGGCCATGTGAGTATTGTAAGTCTTCTAATTGTAGTTCTCGTACGTAGAATTTAGAGCTATTGAGACTGATTTGAAATCAGTGATTTGGATAAACTACATTTACTTTAACATTTAAAGAGCTGGGAACTTTTTACTTTTATTTATTTTAGATGGATGTGAACTTTTTATTTTTTCCGTTTTAAAGTGATTCAATTTTGGAGACATTACTATGTTTCAAGTATAGTTTAATTCCACCATTGCCACAAGGCCCACAACAAATGTATAAGGCTCATCGTTTCCTTTTATTTAGGCCATGTTTTTTTCACATTAAAAAATGATAATAATATTAGTGAAAAAATCATTTCAGTTTGTAAAATTAAGTTCACTTCAGTAAAATATGTAAGGCTCATCGTCTCTTTTTATTTAGGCTATGACTTTTTGACTGTCCACTGTTCATGAGCTTTAGGTGAGCTGTGATTGTGTCGAGATGTCTTTTTGGCCTTGAGGAATGACTTTTTTGTGTATCTAATAGTTGATTCTTGGAGTAAACTGGATGCCAAAAAGTAATGTAGAGGTGCTATCTTGATGCATGTGGTGCTTGTGGAATAGGAGAAATGAAATGATTTCCAAATAGAAAATCACACGGTTGAGGTGTTCACAAACCCTCCAAGCAGGTTTTAAAGCCTTTGACCAAAGGTGTAATTATTCGTATTACGGAGTATGAATTATCGACCGTCAAGGTCAAGGTCAAGGTCTCAACAACTTGCCTGGGAATCAAAAATTCATATTCATGATAGATCCATAGCACCTTGTAATTCCACTAATAAATGTGACGCTTCGTAGAATATATTGCAAGTACAGCGCATTTTTTTTCTAAATTGTTTTCCCATCTAATTCAAATTATACTCAATTTGGAAAACTACGTCTATTAATTGGTACTTGAACATAATACGAACTTATAATTACTCTGTACTATGTATCCAAAGCAAGCATTTTATGATTCATTCTCATCCATTACAACTTTCTTCTTCAAACTTTTCAAATGGTTTCTCCTTCAAAGATATCTACAAATGTCGAAGGCAGACATGATCGCATCAGCAATCTGCCAGTGGTACTTGCTGATAAGATACTCGAACTGCTGCCACTTAACGAAGCAGCCAAGATGAGTGTGTTGTCCAAACAATGGAGGACCAATTGGTGCTGTCTTAAGAAACTTGTTTTCAATACGGATTTCTGGGATCGGCAGAGTTGCAACTGCAATGATGTAGAATTAGAGTGGGAAACATACACCAGCATCGTCAGCAATATCTTCCTCCACCACCTTGGACCTTACACGAGTTCTACCGTGTCATCCCTCGCATTCGACAAGATAACATTTGTTATCATGCAACTCTAAATCTTAGTCCGTGGTTACGTTTTCTTTGAAGAAATGGTGTCAAAAAGATCACTCTTGTAAGTTTGCACATGGAACCATAGGTTTTACTTTGAAACGTAATAGGTTCCAGTCAAGTCATCATTCAAGTAAAAGGTATAAATCAATTTCTCATTTTCATGAATGATGCATACTTCTTTAACTTAGTTTATTTTTCTGTTTTTTGTTTCTGTTTATTAATATGCATGCCTGGATGATTATTTTTGTTTACCGAGTTTGTCTTGTTTGTCATAATAAAAAAGGGGGAATATTGTTGACTCTCTTAGTATTTTCATGAATATTGTTGACGTAACAAAACAAACTTCGACTAATGTTGTGTGTTAAGTCTTCGTAGAACAAAAAGATTCAGGTACAAACAACATGTTCCGGAGTAGGAACAAAGGGATTGGAAGTCTTGATGAATATGCAAGCTTTTAAGAAAAAGATCAAAATCCAGTCTTAGATTCTCTCTAAGCACTAGAGTATTAATGTGCAGAGAAACTCAGTAAAGAACCTTATGTTTCTTAAGGAACTTAATGTCTTAATCAGAAAAAGATTTTAACGTAAAGTTTAAATCATTTTTAAAGTCCTTGAAATAAGGATAGAATAAAATCAGTTTTGAAAAGATATATTTTGCAAATAAATAAAAGATAAATAATTCTTTAATTTAAAAGATAAGTTTATTATTTTTAAATTAAATAATTATTCAAAAGTTTTATTTTTTAAAAACATCTTTTTCATAATAATTATCTTTTTAATAATTATCCTTCTAACTGATTTTTAACCAAGTTAAACTGGCTGCCTATTTTCAAGGAAACAACGTTGGTGGAATGAGAGGACAGTCAGGGAGATCCACTACCCACTTCCTATCCAACGTTCTTAACTTCCAAAGTTAAGGTAGAACGTGGTTAATGGGAGGAGTGGGAAGAAAGATTGAGACTTTCCTTCTCTCTATAAAAAGCTATCAACAAATCTGATTTAAGAGTGGAAAAACAATTCAGTTTTCTGAGCGTTAAGTTTTCAAGTGTTAGAGCTGAGTTTCTTCCTGCTTCAATCCTTCTAAGTGCATTAGGAAAGTCTGTAATTACATTTGTAATTGGGACTGGGGTTTGTGAGAGTTGTATTTGTGAGGCTTGAGTGAGTCTATCACAAAATTGTATGTGATTTTAGAGTCGAATCACTGAGAGAGATAAGCTACGGTTGAGGGACCGTAGTTGGGATACTTGAGTTCCTAGAGGAACTTAAGTGTAGGCTGAATATTCACAGTTGTAAATGAGTTTTTGCATAGTGAAATAATTCAAAAAGTCATCTCGTGTGTTCTCTCATTTTATACTTAGTTTAATTTCCGCATAAACTTCATAAAATTTTATAAATTACAATTCACCCCCCCTCTTGTAGTAGACATCATTCTAACAACGGAGGATCAATTGGTGCTATCTTAAGAGACTTGTTTTCGATGACGATTTCTGGAAGTGGCAGTTCCGCTTCAAGAATGTAGATCAAAAATTGAAGTGGGAAACATACACCAGCATCGTTAGCAATATCTTTCTCCGTCACCATGGACCTATACACGAGTTCTACCTCTACATCCCCAACATTCAACAAGATAACATTTCTTATCATCAAACTCTGAATCTTAATCCGTGGCTACATTTTCTTTCGAACAATGTTGTCAAAAAAATTACCCTTATAAATTATCCGTTCTTATTCGCTGCTGTACCTTTGCCATGTATTTATTCATGCATTGAGTTGGAGGAATTGACACTTTCCAAAGGTTTTATTTTGAAACGTCCATCCACCGAATTTAAGTGCTTTAAACATATTCGCAAACTTGAGCTCAATACAATAACATTCGACGGTGACATACTTAGCAGTTTGATTGCGAATTACCCCAAACTCATTATACTAAAGCTTGAGTACTGCCTCTACCATAATCATCTTGTTATAGATGCACCAAAACCCGAAAAATTAACCATATCAGTCTCTTCATCTGTCGGATTGTTGAATTTCAAAAATGTTCCCAACCTTGCTAAATTAGAGCTATGTTGGTGCGATTCATAAATTACTGATCGTGAAACTGCTGAAGCAGCTGATGCCATAAAAAATCTTGCAGCTTCTTGTGATCTCAAATCGCTTCACCTAAGGGACTTCATGTCTACGGAAAGTTTTATGGCTGAACAAGTTCGCGATTTAGAATCTATAATGTTTTTAATTTACTATACAAATTGATGTCTATTTTGTTGTGCTAGCTCTTTGTTGAAATCGGAAAAAGGAAATCGTTTCCGCTGGCACTTACCCACCTCTATGAACTGTCTCTCGAAGTACTTCATTTGGATGACTTTGGTGTATTTTCTAGCACTTTGGGTTTTATTCGAAGCTGCCCATCCATTAAGAAGCTTGCTATCTCAGCAAGTATACTATTATGTCCGAACTACTTCAAGTTTTTACCATTTTGGAAAAGAAAATTTTGTTAACTTTTATGTCCAATCTACTTCAAGTTTTAACCTTTTAATAAGTTTCTTCTTTTGCAAATTATGGAGTAATACCTTAATCTAAGAGTTCTTTGTAAAAAAACTGCTCTCCTTGATCCAATTTGTTCTTCCCATTAATTTGGAATCGATGCATAAGCAAATTAAAAAAGTGGTATACTTAATTTAAAATAGTAATATGATGATTGAAGAGAGAGATGATTAAAAATTGTAATAAGTATACATGTGGAAAATTAATTAGGGCAAAACTGTTTAAAAAGTAATATGAAAAATAAAAAACATAAGTGATAAATTTTGGTATTTTCACCAATAAATAGAGAAAAAATAATGAGACGTTTTTTTTACCATCCCATAAATCAAAAAGATTTTCAATGAGAATTTTTTTAAACTTCATTACCGTAACAATAAATTGAAAATAGTACCACAATTTTAAAATTGGATGGCTATGATTTAATGATTTTTTTAATCATTTTTAAATTCTAATTATTTTAGGAATTCATTTTAAATTTTTGATATTGTAAAATTTTTTGATACAACCTAAAATTCACTATCACCCCATCATCCATGGCGCGTATAGTTTTTATCCCCATCCCTGCCCCACCGCCCGCCAAATCGAGACCCCACTTCATTCCACTGGGGCGGGTCTCCTACTTGATCTGTCCCATTGACATCCTGAGGAAAGATAATTGAAACATAATAAAATGAAATATGGATAAGATTTGGTGGCACAAATTATACGTAGCTAACCATATGGTGTGATCACTTTATGTACATGCAATTAATTAAGCAATGGGTGATATGACGATGATTAAATAGAGTTACCTTGACAAATAAGAGCTTACCGTAATGAGAAGTTGGGGTTAGTTGTATAAACAAGTGGATCTAATCTTTTAATGGTTAAATCTAGTGAGTAACCCAAGCGTTGCCCCAAATTGCTACTTTTGTAATTGTGCAATTGGGATATTTTTTATAAGGATTTTGAAATCTGAAATTGATATTATTGAATATGTTTTTTCAATAATAATTATGTGGTTTACACTTATATATATTTCTTATTTATATTTATAACATGCTTGATAATGGGCTAAGATGGTTAAATAACCAATTTTGTTATAAGTGGTTGGGTGTTCGAATTCCCTTAAGTTTATATTTTTATATGAAGTAATGTGGTTAATTCAGTGATGATGTGGCATAAAGAGATGTTGGGTAGGTGATGTGGCGTTATGAAGTATTTGTAACGTGACGTGACGTAATTTAAAAGGATGTACGTGGCACATGGACATTTTTATAAACGCTTTTTAATATATTAGTATAGTCAAGAGGGATTACTCGAATGAACGAAATGGGTTATTTATAGTTTTATTTAATGTTATGTTACTTGCAAAATAATATATGGTTACTTTATGGTTAAATTTAAAGTTATTTACATAATGAATAATTGAATAATGATTATTTTTATAAACAAATGTGGCCACACCATGCGTCTAACCAAACACAAGACTTATTGTTTTGTGGGAGAGCGAGAGAATTATGTTAGGATTAATTCCTACTATATACTTTAATCTTCATATCAAATTAATCGGTAAATCTTAATTGCGGAAGCATACCTAAATCAATGACAATTGATCAAACACTTATTGATTATGCGTCTTCTAGTAGATACATACTCTAGAATTTTCTCTCTATTGATGTGATATAACTGAGAGAGTCTATTGTATATGCTACTAGGGACTATTAATTCCTAGATGTCTATTTATATAGACTTCCTTCCCCAATTCTCCCATCATGCATTAAAAAAGGTCCAACGGTTTCTACACATAAAGCTAAACCCATACTCTTTAAAAGACGTAACAAGCCCAACAATAAATAATTACTTAAATGGATCACTTTATTTTTAGGCTAAACTATATGATAGCGTATAAATACAATCATAACCATATAGTCCACATACATTATTGTATTTAGGTCCATAAATTTCTTACAATCTCCCACTTGGACTAAATACAATTACATGTTTGTGATTCTTGATGATTGCATTATACTTTAAAACTTTATTGACCTCAGAATACTATTATTTCCAAAAGTCTTTAAACAATTCGGTCCATCAATTATATTAACATAGAGTCAAAGCAATCTAAGCTACAATTACATAACTAGACCCATCAATGGCCACAATGTTAACACAAATACACAATCAATGACATGAATCAAGCATAGGTGTGTAGCATGGAAATAACATAAATGTGATCCAAAATGTCTATTTCCAACTGGTCCACTTTAAACTTTAGCAAGATCGATCACAATATGATCTAATAGAAGAGTAAACCAAACTAAATACTTTACTTTTGCAGAAATACTTAAAGCCACAATATGTCATCAATATATAAAACCAGGAAAACATGCATGCTTACTCCCTCTGAACCTGTGGTACACACAATTATCAACTGCATTTGTCTCAAAACCATGAGACATAACAACTTGTTAAAACTTAAAGTA